AATATAAGGCCGAATATCAAGGAGAGTATCTAGGTCACTTATACTAGCTAAGTAACGCTTAGGTATTTACTCTTTTTATAGAGGCTATACCTAGGTATATCTTTAGGCGTAAAGAGCTATAAACTAGCGAAGCGTTTCCTTATACTAATCACTCTAGTTTATATTATTCTCCGATATACCCTATACTTTACTTAAGAAAAAGTAAAGCTTATACTAGGGTATAAGAATCATTCTAATTATATAGAGATTACTATAGATCTCTTTTATCTTTACGTAGTAAGATATAAGCTTTACTATCCTAACATTAAGGGCTTATAGTATCGCTTTCTTCTAAGGTATGGTTTTCAGGGTAAGTCATACAATAGAATCCTCGAAATGATTAAAGAGGGTATTATAAATACTAAAAATATAATATACTATTATCTCCTTAGTCTTTAAAAGTACTATAGTAAAGCAGTAGAATAGCTCTGTAATATACAGAAGGTAGTCGATCTACCACTATTCTACCTTACTAAGTTTATATTTCTAAGTCCTAATATTATTATAGTATTCATCACATAGCTTACTAAGGCGTTTCGCACGACAAAGTATCAAGAAGGTTAAATTCTAACATATACGGATATCTTAGATAGGCACAAGTTTTACTCTATTAGTCTAGAGACGGAAGAAATTATCATAACGTTAGGGGCTTATATTAATAAATATAGTAAGCCTACAAATCTATATATTTATTAGGTATATTAAATAAGAAATAAAGTAATATACTTACCTTAACAAAGGTTTATATAATAACTTATTCACTCTAGGACGTATAGAGTAATTAAGCTTAGGCTTAGGCTTAGATATCAGAAATATTCCGATCTATAGTATCGTTCTAAAGGTCGACCTTTACTAATCTAAGTAGCTTGCGAAGGCTTAGTTAGATAATATATATAAGATAAGGGATTTAAATAACCACTAGGTTATTTAGTAGTTCAAAGGAGTTAATAGAGTCTTAAACTACCTATACTAGAGTTATATTATTAAGTACGTTATCTAATATAATCGCTAATATATAATCAATAATATCAAGCTTCCTAAAGATATCTATAAGCATTCTACTTAGATTTATACCAGAATACGCCCTATTAAGTAGTTCAAATCTAAGTAGGATCTTACAGTAATTCCAGTCTCAGTCGATAAAGTACCCTATAATCGCTATAAATACTTACTAGAAAGGCGATATCTAGCAGTTAAAGGCAACTAAGAGCTTTATATCTTATAGTAAGATAGTAAGGATTATATACTACTTATCCTCGACCAATTTCTTTAGCTAGCGTTAAGTAGTACAAGGATAGAGTAGAGTAGGTTTAACTAGAGCCTTTTACACTATTCAAATTAAGGAAGCAAACTACTTCCTCTTAAGTACCCAGAAAGGTAGGTTCAGACTAGTAAGACATTTAATCTACTCTTTTTCCTATTCGTTATTCAAGAACCTTAAGATATAAGATAATACTAGTACCTAATATATAACTTATTAATTATCTTAAAGGGTATAATCATATAAGACTTACTAGTATATACTATATAGTCTCTATAATCGACTATTATATAGACTTACTTTTACCACCCTTTTAGCATTTACCTAACACTATATACCGCTTTAGTATATTAGTACCGCTTTACTTCATACTTAGATAAGGTAATATAGCTCTATACGTCTAATATATAACCAAAGGTTCGCTTGTAAAATAATATACTACCTAGTAGAAGTTCTCCTAGACATCTAATATATATTTTATATCCTATCGTAGCTATTATATCTCAGTACCACTACTATATACTATTATACACTACTATTCGATAAACTTTACTTTAGAGGCGTTATATATCGCATTATAGAGGATAAACTACTTTCTCCAATCAAGGCTAACGCGTTTAAAGGAGTAATTAAGAAGGGCTAGTTAAGTAAACTTAGACTCTATTAGTAATATAGAAGTCTATTAGCTATTAAAGAGACTTAGATTAATATTTAGATTAAGGTTAGAATTAAATATATCGCCAACGTAGGAGAGGTCTAGTTAAGAGCTCAGAGAAAGTAAAGAAGGCCCTACAATATAGGTACTAGGTTAAGATATAGTTAATATAATGTAAGGGATAGTATAACGACTAAAGGAGAGTATATAGTCTTAACTTATAATAGGTAACTTACAACTCTGTAAAATAGGGGTCACTAGTAAAAGGGGTACGTTATATAGATCTAATAAATTATAAATTAAGTATATACCTACTATCCTTTATAAGCTAATTAGCTATAAAAGTCTTTATCTATAAACATACCTATAGGCACGCTTACAAGACTATACCCAAACGCCTATCTTAAGTTAGAATCGAAGGATTTAAAACTCTCAGAATAATAATATAAGCCTTTTAGTAATAGAATAGACAAAATTTAATAATATAAGCTTATAGAATAATAATTATACTAATACTCTTAGAAAGAATTATATCTAAATAAACAATAGAGCGGAAGATAGAAGTAGTATTTTACTTACAGAAAATAGTTAACATATACTACCAACTTAAATATATATCTTTAAACTATTATAGCGTAATTTAGTAAGTTAATAAAAATACTATTTAATATAGCGTATTTCTATAAAGAATATACTCTAAGTCATATTATATATATTATAGTTTTTCATTTACTTAGATATTTTAATAAAATTCATAAATATTATAGATTATATCTGTAATATTATATAGAGTTAGCAAAATAGGTATATATAACGGTTATTTATTATACGTAGTTAGCGAGTTATACATCTATTTTAGGTGACTTTATACAATAGTAGGTATCGTAGGCATGCCTACGATAGGCATACCTATAGGCCGTGGGCGTCATAGACGGGCACTCGAAAATCCAAATAGCCCACCGCCTACTGTGGACGGGCGATAGGCACCTCCTAGGTATCTATGGACGGGCGATGTCGTAGTCTAGGAGGGACCCTTTTAGGAAAATCTTGCGACCTTTAACCCTATTAGGCTATATATGAAGAAGTATCGGAGCTGTTAGTAGAACTAATTAGAGATAAGACGTATTTAAGTAGGCTATTACCGCTAGATTATAATAATCGGTAATAATACGGTCTATTAATAGGGTAATATATCCGCTAAACAATTTCCTATTATAGTAGTATATCTGTTATATAGGGCTTAAAAGTAGAAGAGACTCCGCCTCCTGCCCTAGAGGATAGGGCTTAAAAGTAGGGCGATAGCCCTATAATAGAGAATTTATTATTTTAATCGGGGGCTTGTAAAAGGTAGATATAGAGGATAGCTTTAAATATTAGTACTATATAGGGTAAACTAGTATTATTTAGACTTATATATATATATTTAGCTAATTTACTATATCTATTAAAAGAGGATCTTAGGTATAGTTCCGCTAATAATCGATATTAGCTAATAGATCGATAGGAAAGAGAGAGAGTATATTACTATTTCATATTTCTATATATTCTTATTACGAAGCCTTAAGGATAAAGAAAGATTACTAGGTTTCTTGTATACCGGCTATAGATATTTATATAGAGGTTTATACAATAATAATATTCCTACCTAGTAAATTCGTCTCTGTCCCTTCGCTAGAATTAGGTAGTCTAGGGTACAAAATAGACCTAAATCGGTGGTTACTTGCGGAATTATTTAGTAAAAGAGTGCTCTTGGATACGTTAAATAAATACTAGAGATAACCGAGGCTAACGTTCTAATAATTCCTGATTAATCTTTTAACAAGCCTAGGTCTTAACCACTTCTTAACTACTTCTTAACCACTCTTTATAGTCACTCTTCAAAACAATCCGCCCACCTTAGGTTTATTAGCTGGGAGATGGTTTGGACTTTATCACATCACACCTCATATAGAGAGCTCTCTTCTCTATAAGTACCAGGACTAATTTAGCGCACCATGATACTTCCAAGTGTACAAAGTCAAATGGCATTGGTAGACAGGTCTGGCTAACGTGAATCTTGATTTACTACAAACAAACAAACAAACAAACAATTCATTAACGCCCAGCGGCTGAGCCGAAAGGGCAACTATCACTGATCTACTGTACATGTCCATCTGTGTATGCTATGTCTCCTGAAAGCCCATACATAAAACCTTATAACACATGACGTTTCCAGAAAGCAGTATCGCAGCGAGTTTCTCGTGGGTTAGTAAGTGGGTTAGTAGGCTGGCTTGAAGGCGTTTCTCCAAGTGTTCAACATCCTATCTTCGGCAGTTAAAGCGCGTCTACCGTTTGTAGCACGAGGTGGTTGGTAGGTTAGGTCGGCGAAAGGGGGTGATTCATGTTCATTGGCATGGTTAGGTGGCCTCGAGTCGGCCCGTGGCGATAGCGAATCGTATTGACGCCAGTACCGCCTCTAAGTTCGGCGTCCACTTCTCATCATCGGAAGGCGACTTTCCTCCTAGGAAGAAGGATATATTTCCTTGGTGGGTGTTGGTACATTGTAGTAGTTCCGTCCGGTGCGCCGTCCGTTTGGATTTACTACAGACGCGCTCGAAATCAGTTTCACCACTTTACTCTCTTTGATTCTTTTCTGAACTTAAAATCTGTTTCTGAACTTAAAATCTGAAACACGCTAGTCTATGTTCGGTTTAGACACTTTCAAACTCACGAATCGTATTGTAACTCAAAATCACATGATGAGTTATTCTGTAATCTATTGGAACCCATCATACGATTGATACCTTACATCACGATACTCTTCACGAGTCACTACTCCAATATTGACAACATTCATTCTTGTGTGAAGAAGATAAATATATCGTAGCTGAATTTTCGCAAATATCACAACAGAGAAAAGTATACACATTGCGTCTTTGATAGAATGAGGAGCCTGAAGCCAGAACGACGAGCTTCCCATCCTAGGCGCTCGGGGTGTCACCTGACAGTGGGGCACTTTGACAACTCAGCTGTATACCCCCTTCTGAGAATCACCTAGATGCAATAATGGCATATACGACATCATATGACGGGACAAACTCTGGGCTCCAAGTTGGGCAGAACCTTGGTCATATTACTACTCAATTCCGTAAGTAGGGTAGGGTACATGGCTCTAAAGGAACATGACTAATCGATGTGACTGCCCAAGTACAATCGGAAGCTTCATTGAATCAAGCGTGCCTACGGGATCTGCGAACGACCAATCCTCACCATGACAAAGATCGTATCCAGAACACCAACGGAGGGCTGCTCAAAGACTCATACTGCTGGATTTTCGACAGCGAGGAGTTTCAACAATGGCAAGACAATCAGAGCAACTGTCTCCTCTGGATCAGAGGCGATCCGGGCAAAGGCAAGACAATGCTCCTCTGCGGTGTTATCGAGGAGCTAACACAGTCGTTTGGGGGCACTGCGAATGTTTCGTTCTTCTTTTGCCAAGCAACCGACGTGCGAATCAATAATGCCACAGCTGTTCTCCGTGGCTTAATATATTCGCTTGTTAAAAAGCAGCCATCCCTTCTCTCCCATGTAAAGAGTCAATATGACCACGCAGGAAAAGCATTGTTCGAGGATATAAACGCATGGGATGCTCTCTCGAGGATCTTCACGGATATCCTGAAAGACCCGACCTTACAGAGCACCTATTTGATTATCAACGCGCTGGACGAATGCACAACAGGCCTGACTTCCCTTTTCCACTTGATTACTCACATATTGTCTGTTTACCCACAGGTAAAGTGGATTGTCTCGAGCCGCAACTGGCCTGATATCGAAGAGCGTCTTGACACTACCCACACTGCTCCGATCTCATTAGAGCTAAATGAAGTTTCTGTATCCGAATCAGTGAGCAGATTCATTCAACATAGGGTTCACCATTTGGCGAAAGTTAAAAAATATAGCGATGATACTCGCCATACGATCTGCCGTCACTTGTCATCAAACTCGCAAGGCACTTTCCTTTGGATCGCTTTAGTCTGTCAAGAACTTGATAGAACATCGCGGAGGCACGCCCTTAAGAAGCTGGAGGCGTTCCCTCCTGGACTGGATGCCTTGTACGACCGGATGATAGATCAGGTTCGCAGCTCGGAAGATGCCGAGCCCTGCAAGCGAATACTGGCTGTCATGTCCATAGTATATCGGCCTGTCGCATTCGACGAACTGGCCTCTCTTATTGAACTACCTGACGATCTCTCTCATGACTCTGAGACCCTATCAGAGGTTATCGCGACTTGTGGCTCGTTTCTGACTGTGAGCGAAAAAACTATCAATTTCGTTCATCAGTCTGCAAGGGATTTTCTACTCAGAAGAACGCAAAATGTGATTTTCCCTAGAGGTATAGAAGCCGAACATCATTCAATTTTCTCTCGTTCTCTACAAGCCATGTTCAAGACACTTCGACGCGACATCTTTCGAATACAGTTTCCTGGATTCCCGATAGACAAAGTCATAACACCCAGTCCGAATCCATTAGCAGCCGCAAAATATGCGTGTATTTATTGGATAGACCACCTCGAAGCTGGCACGCGCAACGAAAGTTATGGTCTTATACTTAATGAGAGGGTTCGCGTGGATGCATTTCTGCAGCAGAAGTACCTTCACTGGCTTGAAGCTCTTAGCGTTCTAGGAAGCGTGTCATATGCTATCCAAGGCATGAAAAAGCTTGAGATGGTACTCCAAGTATGTAGCTATTTACATGCCTGAGGTGGCCTTCTCTTCTGACAAATAAACTGCGATCATAGGAGAAGGACGATTCAGAAACAATAATTCGTCGCGCTGAAGACGCCCTCAGGTTCATTCGATATCACAGAACAGCAATTGAAAGCACCCCTCTACAGGTTTACTGTTCACCTCTCATCTTCAGCCCAGCCGAAAGCTTCACGAGAACATGTTATCAAAAGGAAAGACCAGACTGGGTTTTGAATGATCCAGTAGTTGAGAAATGTTGGGGTCTGTGTCTCCAAACTCTGGAGGGGCATACAGGTCCGGTCTTTTCGATTGCCTGGTCTCAAGATGGAAGCCGATTGGCATCAGCATCTATTGATAAGACGATTAGGATCTGGGATCCGACCTCCGGTCAGAGCGTGTCAACTCTAGAGAGGCATGCTGAGCCAGTCAGCTCAATTTCCTAGTCACCAGATAGAAGCCGACTCGCATTAGCGTCCTATGATAAGCTAATTAGAATCTAGGATCCTACTACTAGTCAGAACGTAAAAAGTCTTAAAGGGTATAGTAGCTCGGTTAGCTCGATTACTTGGTTACTAGATGGGAGCCGACTTGCGTCGGCCTCTTATGATTATACAATCAGAATCTAGTACCCAGCTACCAGTCAGAGTATGTTAACTCTCGAGGGGTATAATAGTTGGGTCAGATCAATTACCTAGTCGCAAGACGGAAGCCGGCTCGTATCAGCGTCAGATGATAAGACCGTTAGGATCTGGGATCCGGCTACCGGCCAATGTATGTCAACCCTTGAGGGGCATAGCCATTGGATCTGTTCGATTGCCTGGTCGCAAGATGGAAGCCGGCTCGCATCAGCGTCCAACGATAAGACAGTTAGGATCTGGGATACGACCACTGGCCAGAGCGTGTCAACTTTCGAGGGGCATAGTCGCTCGGTCAACTCAATCGCCTGGACACAAGATAGAGACCGCCTCGCATCAGCATCTGATGATAAGACAATTAGGGTTTGGTATCTAGTCACTGGTCAGAGCGAGTCAGCTTTTGAGGGGCACGGCGAGTCGATCAACTCAATATACTGGTCACCAGATGGAAGCCGGCTCGCATCGGCATCTTATAATAAAACTGTTAGGATATGGGATCTAACTACCAGTCAGAGCGTGTTAACCCTCGAAGGGTATAGTGGTCCGGTATTCTCGATTACCTGGTCGCACGATAGAAGCCAACTAGCGTTAGCGTCTTTCGATAAGACAGTCAGAATCTAGCATCTGGCTACCAGCAAGCGTGTGTCAACTCTCAGAGGGTACTAGGATTAGGTCACCTTAATTGCCTAGTCGCACGATGGAAGCCGACTAGCGTTAGCGTCTTTCGATAAGACAGTCAGAATCTAGCATCTAGCTACCGGCAAGCGTGTGTCAACTCTCAGAGGGTACTGGGATTAGGTCACCTTAATTACCTAGTCGCAAGATAGGAAGCGACTCGTATTAGCATCCGGTAGTAAAACAATTACGATCTGGGATTCAACCACCGGCCAGAGCGTATCCACTCTCGAGGGACATAGTGGTCCGGTCTGCTCAACTGCCTGGTCGCCAGATGGAAGTAGAGTCGCATCAGCGTCTGATGATAAGACAATCAGGATTTAGGATCCGACTACCGGTCAGAGAGTGTCGACTCTTAAGGGTCACAGTGGTTCGGTCATTTTAATTGTCTGGTCGCCAGATGGAAGCCAACTCGCATCAGCGTCCGATGATAAGACAGTCAAAATCTGGGATCCGACCGCCTGTCAGAGCTTGTCAACTATTCCAACTAGTTCCACTGGCTTCCTTCAATTTGATGAACTTAATTCGAACCGTCTGCACACGAGTATTGGTACATTTGATATATCTTCAATTGCTACTGCCATGCCTAAATCCCGTACCCGGATCTCATTGCCTGAGCGATATCGATATGGCTTAAGCGATGACTCTTGCTGGATTACTTTCAATGGAGTCAACCTCCTGTGGTTGCCTACCGAGTATCGACCGGTCAGTTCCTCTCTTTTTGCTATATTCGCAACCAAGTTGGCCATCGGATGTTCATCAGGTCGCGTCAATTTTCTCGTGCTCACAGAGCACAACCCTCTCTCTGGACTTTAGTCAGTATTTATATTACCTCGCATCCCTGTACCTTCCTATACCAGTTTCAGCATGAATTGCCCATAAGTTCCTTCTAGAATCGTCCTTAACAGGCAGAAGTAATTAAAAGCCGGTCTCTCAAATCGGGACTACCTGAGTAGTGCAACAGAGAGTATTGGTATTGAAGCCGTAGATCAATATATTGATACGCGTAGGGCAGCCTGTACACAACCACCTAGGAGAGAGTGGGCACGATCGAATCCATAGATACTGTTTCTGTTTACTTCAGCTGGCAAGAACTGAGGGTCCGCATTTTTCAGATGGATCTTCCAGAGATACCCACCCAAGCTGCAGGAGCTATGAGACTGCGAGGTCACGTGCGTTTCCCAATACCCCAGGACTCCCCCGAACTTCAGTCAAAAATCATTTCATCCGCTCACTGAGCAGAAGAGTAAGCAGGGTGAGCATGGAGGAAAGAATTTGCTCTTTGTGCCCCGAAACAGTAACGCCCATCGGTCAACCATTGAAGAAGGCCCGCAGTTTTCAGATCTGTCGCCATGACAACCACGTTGCCAAGAACTACGATAGCGTTAGGTCACGTGCATTTCCCATTACTCCTGCGTCCCTAGACCTTCAGTCAAAACTATTTCGTCCGCTCACTGAGCAGGAGGGTGAGCAGGGGTGAGCATGGAGAAATGAATTGTCCCGTGTTGGACCAACAATGCCACATCAGGAGGTTTCCACCACTGAGACCCCGAACCTTCCAACATTATTACGCAAAATGGCGCCGAGGCTCTCTCCTTCGAAGCTCGAGATGATCCGTGATATGATACTTAGCGAATCACTAAACACATCACAGATAGCCGAAGCGGCTGAATGTAGTAAGCGTTCAATCATCAACCTCTGTAATAACCTTCACTAATTTAGGAATGTCAGAGCGCCTCCTACACGTGTTAGACGACGACGAAGTATCACCCCTCTAATACTAGAGGCAATATGTGATTATCTTCTTAAGAAACCTAGGCTATATATAGATAAGATAGCGCTCTTTTTATAGGATGAATTCTATATTTAGGTAACGAATTCGAGTCTTAAGCGGGCTCTTGCGTCTATCGGCTAGTCGAAAAAGGTGGCTCGATAAAGAGTAAAGGAACAAAACGCTAATTTGCGAGACTTCTACCTATATAACCTATTAGACTTCCGATCCTATCACCTAGTCTATATAGACGAGTCCGGATATAATAAACGAATTAGTTTTAGACGGACTAGCTAGTCTCCGGTCGGCGCGATACCTTTACAGGTTTTTAGATTCTATCGTGATTGACGATATTAGATTCTTCCTATATACGCCTAAGATAGTATTGTCTTTTCTCGAGTATTCTAAGGCTCGACTGATACAGCTATATTTAAGGATTTTATTAAGCAACTTCTTAACTATTGCGGAAAGTGGCCTAAACTAAAGTCCGTTATAGTTATAGATAACGCATCTTTTCATTATTCTAAGCGAATTAAAGAACTATATACTAATATAGGAGTAAAATTAGTTTACCTGCCACCTTATTTACCTGATTTAAATCCTATCGAGGAGTTTTTCTCTAAGCTAAAGGTGTTTATTAAGCGGAATTAGCGGCGATATAAGCAAAGCCCGGACTAAGGATTCGCTTCTTTCCTTAAGTGGTGTATCGAGGCTATCGGATCTCGAGAAGAAAGTGTAAAGGGCCATTTCCGGCACGCTAGCGTTGTTATTAAAGATTATTATTAAGGCTAGGTGTTGATAGATTAATATCTAGTTCTATACAAGACCATTTCAGTGGCGTCGAATTTGAGTAGATAATTCCTATATACGCATTGATTCTACTAACTATTATATTACAGGGAGTGCATTAGATTAAAAGTAAATAAAAAATCGATTCTAAGTCTAATCACACCTTGCTAGCCACTAACTACGAGCCTACGTAGTTAGTTTCTTACGTGCCTCACCTATCTACTAATATCACTTATAAAGCGGTATACAATTCCTACCGCAACTCCTTTTTTAATAAAGAATCCTATATCATGGTCCTCATAGATCTATTCAAGATCTAGACTATTAGCCAGCATTATATCGCATGCGTATCGAAAATGAGCCTTCAAATTGTCGTTGATAACATTAGTTTCTTACCATACGCTATATTCTCTCACAGTTAAATCTCAAGGCCCGTTAATTATAAGCGGATCAGCTGTTTATCTATATTGCGGTAGAGACGTAGCCAACGTTACAATTAAGTTAGTCGCCGGTAATTACAGGTGATACTGCCCTCCTATAAAGTTAATACTAATAGGTAGACAATTTCCTATAGCAAGCATTTTATTACCTTTAGATTATAGACTTTCTACTTTCTACTACTCTTCTAAGAAGAGCTCTTCACGAATAGTGTCAAGAATATCGTCTTAACACTCCAGAATACCACCACCTTCAATATAAGCGATCAAGCGTTTTAAATAATATATCCTTAGCTAATAGTGTTTTTTCCTATATAGGTCCTACCAATAGTGCGGACTAAGATAATATAATAGTAAAGGACAGCGTATTAAGGTGTAGACTGCCTACTAGATCGACTGTTCCCTAGTTATATGCTATTTAGCGTCCAGTTGTTTATCCCGTTTATTAAGCATCCTTTTAGTAACAGATGACTTTCCTCTTTTGTCGTTTCTACCTATTGCGCTTCTAGGAGAGTGATCGTCCTCTATATAGTTAAAGATAATCTTCAGCCGCAACTCTTTACCGCTAGTATAAAACTTCCCCTAAATAAGTATTTGTTTTTCTATAGCGGACTAGTTAATATTAAGGCTATTAAACCGCTTTTTTAGGTCCCGTTACTTACGATCGTTAATTGAGATAATAATAGATGTGTCGTCCGACCTGACCCTTCGTTTATAAGCAACTTTCTCCTCGATTACCTTATACAGCTTGTCCCTAAGGACTAAGGGCCAGTAAGTACTTAGAGTTAGCGCTACGTCCTACTCCGTGTCCTCTAACATAGACCGGTTATTCACTGTGACTTTCCACTCAATAGTATACCGAATAAAGCTAGCGGGAAGCTCGTCGTCTGGCCTATTTGCTTCCCACTCAGAGAGCTAAAGCAGCTTACTGGTTTCTGCTGGGGTTGAGAGTAAGGGCTCGGCACTATTATGGTTCGGTAAAGGGCTGAATCTATATTCTAAGGGTGGCGTGTGTACGTAATATCTTGGAGTTGGAGCGTATTACGAATCCTGGTCTAAGGGATTAAGGTCCTAGGCTTAGGATTCATCACCATTAGAAAAGGAGTGGTTAATTATCGTCCTCAATTTCCTAGTAA